TACCCTATTTAACTCATCAATTTTATTGTTACGTAATTCTAAGTCTGAAGAGGCTTGAGTTTCAAATTCCTGTATCCTCTGGCAAGTAAGTTCTGTCTGGAATGCAATTTGTATAATTTTACGAAAAATGAAACATGTTACCGTAACATCTGATACATTTGTCAGCATTATTCAAAAATACTGGATACCTTGCTACACGCAGAAGTGCATAACATGAGAAATAATTTGTTAAATAAATTAATAAAGTTACATGGTAAGTATACAACGTCTATATTTGGTGTTCTATTAACTATCTGTTTAATTACGTAATGTAATCATTTCTATATTTCACTACGACTGACTTTCTCTTTGTTATAGAAAATAAATTAGTGAGCAAAACTTAGGCAACGTGAACAAACGCTAATGGAACTGAGGGTCACACAGGCAGCAAGGAAAACACCAAAAATGTACGCATGTATAAAATGCTCTCATACAAACGCCAATATATAGATATATAACCCCAACAAAATTATTAATAGATTTCTTGGAACAGTTAAACGATATTGGACTCATTAGAACTTAAATGCAATGTTCAATGAATCCAAAGAAATAAAGATACAAAGTAATAAAATATGTCTTTGACAACACTCACAACTCGAGTATTATTTACAAATACAGTATGATATTTTTTATTTTCAAACATATTAGAATTCTTAAAACAAGTATCTTATAACATAAACGATGGCACTACAAGATAGCCTGTATTTGTATAATAACAAATGTATACAGTGCTACAATTTGGCCAAAGATTAGCTGATTTGACTGAAAACATTTGACAAGAAATGCCCATCACAAGATCATAAATGCATATGAAAAATCTAATCTACCTACGTTGTACATAGATCACAAACAAACAATTCTTAAATACAAAAAATTAATTTTTACTAATCTGTCCACTCTATGTTATTTATATCACTTTCGCTTTTACCATTTTGTTTTTGCACAAAAAATTAATCCACAAATCTTTAGGAAGATAATACTTCTAACAGATAAATTTTTATTAAACAGTAATTCTATATTTTTATTGGTATATTTTCATGTTAGGAATGACAGTGGCAGCTTTATTATTATATCTATTTACAACACAGTGTGGTAGAGTTGCTATATTTTATTATATTAACAATGAAAACATTTCGGAAACGTATAAGCTTATGTATTCTTATAATGTATTCAGCATTGCTGACTATGTTGCAGTAGAAAGACACAAATACAAACTGTGGGACGTTTCTTATAAAATGCTTGCAGATATTACCGAATTTTGCTTACATTTGGGGTGTTAGTCTTCGCTTGCCTGACCTGGCTTGTCCTATTGAGGTTGGTAGGCCTTACCTGCACCTGCTTGCTGACCATAGAGCCCGCAGGTTGCGATGAAGCTGGTGGAGGAGGTGGTGGAGGTTGAGGATGAGGTCTCGGTGGCTGCATCAATGAAGAGAATTCCGCCACCGAAGAATTAGGTGTTGTTACTTGTGGCGAAAGTAACTGTTGTGGTGATGGTGGATACTGTTAGCGAGGAAACATACGTTACATCACAAAATACTATGAGACCATTTTTGATGAACGTTTACGTTTATATGACATAATCTTACCATAGGATAACCCTGTTGAGGAGAAGGGCTCTTAGCTCCACCGTGCCGAATAGGGCTACTGCCCAGATGATGCTTTGGAAAATACTCATTGATCTTCTTATTATCAAGAGCAGCAACTGATCTAGCGCCCTTACTAGCTACAGAGCCACCTGCGACACCTCCACCTCCATCATCGGCTTTACGTTTTCTTTTCCTCTCAGAAGTAGTCCGTGGTACTTTTTCCGGAGTGTTTGCATCCACCTCCTTATCACTATGCGATGAGCCTACAGAATTATAATCCATTGTCAAAATGACTATAAAAAGTACATCTTTTTAAATGTTGATATCAATAAGAATAATAATAACAAATCAAAGAATTGCCTTTATTTGAAAACATTCAATAAGAATATTTGGAGAGAACATTCCCAGGTGCACAAGACTTTATTCTCGAAGATAGTTGCTCAGAAGATTAGGATGTGCAGAAAGCATTCAGATATTTCAAGCAAAACTCCTGTTAAATGCATATCAATATCAAAGAACGAATCTGACTTACCAGTGCTCATGTTCGAGTCTTGACTATGAACTGTCTGACCAGAGTTTACGGTTGTTTGGGGTGCCATCTGAATTTGTGACCCAGCAGACATCTGAAAGCAGAAGACGGGCGATGTAAAATATACTGCGAGCTTTGGTCGAATGGTGAAAACAGCACACAAGAGGAAAGAAATAATGCAACGAACCAAGTAGTGACGGACTATAGTCACGAAGAGCGCCTGGGCGATTCAACCGTTATCGAATGTAAGGCACGTCGCCGCCACATAGTAATGACGAGTCGTACGGCGAAGCCAAAGTGGCGTACGAGACCGACCACGAACGATAGCGATGACAACGACGGGTACGAGAACGAGAACGACGAATGCGAAACACGGCGAGAGAGAGGCGGCTTCAATGATCCCTCTCGAGTGCCGTGCGAGAGAGGTTACGCTTCGCAAACGGCGAAAACCGGCGTACGACGCTTCGAGAGAATCGCGTGTTATTAAAAAGACACAATTTATACTAGGGGGAACAAACCTGGAAGGATAGAGAAAGACTTATGGAGCGGAGAAAAAGGGGTGGGATGAGGGGCGCCGGACGGTGCATGGAGGGGCGAGAAAAGAGAAACGAGAGAGAGAGACAGAGAGAGAATGCGTGCGAGTGAGAAAAAACAAGAGAAAAGGAGAAAAGAATGGTAGCACATAAAAAGAGAGAAGGAATAAACTGCGGCTGGAGAGAGAGAAACAGAGTTAAAACGTTAGAGAAAGAGAGACCGACACCTTCCAGGACGACCTATGGTGAAGTCCCATAGTAATCGCGCCGTCCGGGGCCGATTGGCGGTCTGTCAACGGCAAACGGAATTTTCACGCGCGTTCCTGCCGTGAGTGGTGGCGGCGGCGTGTAAGGGAAATGTCCGATATACGTTTAGAGCTAGAGGAATCACGACAAAATGGAGGACCTTAGAGCAGCGGGAAGGCAGGAGGGCGGGCGGGAAAGAGAGAGGGAGGGAGGGAGGGAGCGGAAGGGCGACGGAGGTTCTAAGGGGCAACGAGCGCGTGTGGGACGGGAAGGGAGGGCAAACGGCGACGGCATGGATGGAGGAAGGAAGGGAGGGAGAGAGGGAGGGGAGGCCAGGAGGAAGGTTAGGATAACGGCCGCGCGGGGTAGGAGGTACGAACTTGACGGCGCGCACGATTCGAGAAGTGCATGGACGATGATCGGTAACCGCGGGCGCACACCACGAGGGGGCAGTTTTACTCACTACGTTGCGTTTCTGAACTCCCTACGGCACGGGGCCGAGGCCGTGGTTTTTAACTTGGGCTCTCTCTCTCTCTCTCGCGCGCGCATATTTTCGTATAAACGGCATCATCCGCGGCCACCGGCGACAACAGCGGCGTCGGCGAGGCGGTCGCCGCGGAGGGACGGGACGCGTTGCGCCTCTTCGATTAACAGCACCGATAAGCGAGAGAAGAGAGCGACGACACGCTACGTCATTCTGGCCGGCTGTACAGCGCGGCGCGCAAAGTGTGACGTCGTCGTGCGGCCGTTGCGCGTCCCGCGTAGCGATAAATTACGCACCTACGCGCGCGTCATCTTCTCTCTTCCTCCCTAGGGGCTCATTTTTCTCTCGCTCCCGAACGGCCACGAACGATACGTCACTACACGCTTTCATATCCATCCCTCTCCCCTCCCTTCCTCCCTCCGAATTAATTATCGCGAATAGCCCGTCATCGATCTGTCGACGCGAAATCAAACGAAGAGCCACGAGAAACTCAACGTCTATTGTGAAATTTCGCAGAGTTGCCACAAATTCCTAAAATTCTATAACCTTTCTCCGATTTCTAGAAAAATTTTCATGATTTTTCCCGACTTTCAATAATATTTTGACATTCTTTGTGATTTCATCCTGATTTGGAAATTATTAAATATTTTCTTGAGAGAGCAAATTACTATTAACGTTGCTGACACTGTTTGCATTTAATTTTTTAAGTTGACAATATTCCAAAACTGCATAAATATGATGTACCAATGTTAAATTTCTTTAAAACCAAGAATTTTAATTTTCTAGAAAATTTTGCAAAATTCCCTGAATCTTAATTGATTTTCCTGATCGTTATCATTTCTAGTTTTATGGCAACTCTGTTCGCTAAATGGTGTCTATGCAACTAAATATTATAGTACGGCAATTACATATTTAAAATCATTTCGACGGCCATCTAGAAAGATTTATTTTTACGTTTGAATATCGCGCGGTCTACCGGTATGTACTGAAGTTATGCGAGAGCAGCGACGATTGGCTTACCCATTCTTGCTTGACGTGAATCGTCGAAAAATCTAGTCTGATTTAATTGATCCGATTAGTTACGCACTTCTTACTGTGCGTCAACTTTGCACGGCGATCTACTTAGATTGATGATGCTTTTATTTTTGTCGTGGCGCTATTCCGAGAGAGACTGTTTTATCTTATTTATATCTCGGCGCAGACTAGGAGAAAGAAAACGCACGTGAGACTTATGAGGAGCAAGTCCTCCTATGTGAAGAACAGAAACGAATATCGCTTACTTAATTCACCGCAGTGAAATTGATTTTTTTCTTGCAACGATCTTGTTTAGCAAAATTAGATTACTAAACAATGACCAATAACTTATCTTTTTTTTTTCTATTTCTATGATTTTATAGTCATGACGTATTCGAGCGGCGTGATACTTGAGATCGATTCGAAGGACAGATAAATGCGTAATATTTTACTTTTTAGAAACTCACGCTAGGCTCTTACAGAAAATTACACGTAATCCTTTTTTCATCGATGACACGTCGACCGCCATAACGATGAATGTATCTGACGTTTGACGCGAAAGAATAAAAAAGAAGGAACGATAACAGTCAAGTCAATTTACCAAGCTGATATACAAAGAAATACAAGAGTTAGACACGAGGGTCTAAATCGCAATGTAAACATCGTATACAATTTCAGGTATTTCCACGTCAAATCTTATGTTTTACTTCCCCAAGCCCGTAATTCGCGCCGTCTCGCAGGTAGCTCGGTCACGTGACCGGTAGTGTAACTAACGCGCCTCTCGACCCCGAGACTATGCGACAACGAGATGCTCGATCCCGCGGATTCCTCGCGTATCGTGCACGACCGGCATGAACAAATTCACCGCGGGAGAGGACAGCAAACTTCCTTATCGATGGATCAGTGGCCGTGCCCGGAACTGGGCTAGAGGGCCGGCAAAGAGAAATAAAGAGAGAATGAGAAGAAAGAGAGAGCGAGAGACGATGTATCTTGTCTCATTGACTACGTTCAACAGAAAAAGCAACTTTGCAACTGTTGTAAAATTCTTCGGTACAATTGGTCTTGCTCCTAGTTCTTCTCTGGATCCAAGTATATAAACGAATCGCATTAAAGAATCTTACGACACTTACAAAGCTGTTTTTTTTCTGCTAAACGCAACCTTTCTCTCTCCGCTGTCATTACGACGTCGAGACGGATGAGGCACAGTGTTATGTACGATCGCGCACACAGATGCGCGAAATGGTTGTGTATGTGTGTAAGATAAACCGTACGTATGTGGACGACATGCGTGTAAAAACGTATATGGAGCGATTCGCGCATAGGTAGAAGATTGACGTATATACGTACGTACGTGCGAACCCGGTAAATCGGGGCATCTAGGACTTTTACAATGCACGCCTGTAACCCTGGCTACCTGGCCCTGGCGTGGCCATAACCGCGAGGTCGGTCTGTTCACGAACGCACCGTGGTCGAGTGGTACGTAAGACCGAATCGCGTCTCGTAGAGCGTTGTACGTCTACGAGACGGAGCTCTTCTCTCGCTCCTCTCTCTTTCTCTCTCTTTCTCCGTCTCTCTCGCGCTTCGCCGCACGAGGTCCGTTTACTCCTGGATGTGCTCGTAAATGTTGGCGTGCGGCTGGCGCGCCGAGTAAACAGCGGAGACGGTGGCATCAGCAACGGAACCAGCAACGGCAACAGCGACGGCAGCAATCGCAGCCGTACTGTGCGACGTCAATGGACACAACAGCGAGCGGCATCACGCGCATATATACCCGCTCCTTCTCTCTTTCCTGCGCTTCGCGCACGGTGCGTTATGAGAGCGCGAGCCAAAAACCCGGCGCGCGTGGACTCGCCTAATCGAAACGGAACTGGAACTGTCCGACCACCGTGCCGCCGCCGCTCTCGCATACTACTACCTAGCCCCGAGAGAGGTTTCTCTCTATCTCTTTCTCCTTTCTCCCTCGTCCCTTCGTCCCTCTCTCTTTCTCTTCGTCGCTCTGCTGCTATTTCTCTCTCTCTCTCTCTCTCTCTCTCCCCCTCCCTCCCTCCCTCCTCTCTATGTACGGCAAATGAGCAACGCGCGAGATTCCGAGATGCGGCAAAAGGTGCAACCTCCCTCCCACTTCTCTCCCCGCGGTGCCGCTACCGCCCCGCATCACACAACAGAGAGTCAGAGAGAAAGAGGGACACTTTGGTACAGTGTACAAGCGAACGAGAGAGGAAAGGAAAGAGAGACAGCGGGCGAGAGAGAGAGAGAGAGAGAGAGAGAAGGGTGGGAACGCGGGGGGGGGAGGACAGGCGGACGGGAGGGAGCGGGGGCAGACGTTGGCGAGCTTGGATGGAGGAGAGGGATGGACGGGATAAGATAGAAAGAGAACCGTCCGTGACTGACGGAGACAGGGGTCCGTAGGGGGTGGCGGCGAGCAGCCGAGAACCGAGGCGCGGGAGTGCGAAGGGAAGCAGGGAATACGACGGGGGGGAACAGGGGGGAGGGAGGGAGGAGGAAAGCATATGAGACATTCCTTCAGCGAACGGGTCGACCGAGTGTGAGTGCGAGCGAGCCGGTAAAATCGATGTGGCAAAGTGTAGTTGTGCCGCTACAGCAGCGTGCGAAGGGTGCCTCTACTCTGTTGTACCTCTCTCTGCCCCCTTCCCCCCTTCCTCTCTGCTATGACCTCCCCCTTTCCTCACCTCACCGCCGCCGAGATACGTTTCCCGTGTGTGATCCGCGGTTCCGCCTTGCGGCGTTACTTTGCGCTTCGCTGTTGTATCTCTGGACTGAAGGTGAAGCAGGCAGGTTCGGGTTAACGAATGACGC